AACTAGGTTACTAGGAGAACGTGACTTGTGATGTTGGAAGTTATAGTTGACCATTCGCCAGGACTGAGAAAGAAGCCTATTCTTCAGAAATGGTTTGCTTATGTGATTATAGTGAGAAGTGGTGGCTGCCCCAAATCTGAGGGCGAGTCGATGAAACAAGGAGCATTTATGGCAGTCATGTGAGGCGGCAGGAGAGCCCTCTCCAGCTCACTAAGCACGTGACAGACACCGGGGTATGGGTTAGAGACGGAAGGCAGGAAAGCCTGGAAAACAGGTCTGGGTTCCTGTCCTGGCTCGGCCACAGAATGGCTTTGAAGCCTTGGCCACATCACAGTCTCTGGGCTTCAGTGTCCTCAACTATCTGTGGAAGATAATATCTACCTCACAGAGTTATCACGAGATCAAATAAATGAAATTATATCAAACATTTAGCAGCGTGCCCAGCACGTGGTAGCTTCTTGTAATAGTTTAGCCCCTTCCCTGTAAAACAGGTCCAACCTTTCTCATCTGAAGCATCTGGTGGTTCCACAGTCTGGTATCCAGCCAGAGAGGGTCCTGTGATGTCCAGTATTGTGTATGCTGTTTCTTATGTTTTGTATTTTAAAAAAAGGAAATAAGTGGACCATGACTGGGTTTTCTTAATAAATGTTAATGGCACTGCTAGACTCCCTGTATTTCATTCATTTGTGCCTGCTCTTATAATAGAATTTAATAAAAAGATTATTCTCTAGAATTATTATTTGTTAGGAAAGCTGTCATTCTGTATATTTCCTAAGTGAAGAAACAAATGATGGAAGAAATAAAAAATCAAAGAATTTTCCACAGGAAAGCATCGAGAAAAATAAGTTTCCTCTTAATGCTGATATTGTTTTTCCAGTCAACATTATTTCAAGAAATTAAACCAGGAAGTGGGAAAAAGTGATTTTGAAATATTACTTGAAAATAAATAGGCTGAAATTATTGCTGGAGGATACCACAATATAGTAAGCAACTTCTAAAATGTCACTATTCTTTTCCATTGTTGCTGAGTGGCATAGAAGCATATAGACAATGTTATCTAAAGTTTATAAACTGCTTATATGCTTGAATATATATTCAGTGTATATTTTATTGTTGCTGTCTTCATGTTGTCTCCCATAATAGATGAAAACTGACCCTTTGGTGTGGTTATATTTTGAAAATTGAGTTTGAAGTCTGAACAATTACATATACATCTTACAATGTTTTAAGCTACTGCCTTCAAAAAAGAAAGAAGCCTGCACAGTTATATTGTCATCAGCCCTGCAGAGCTGCTGATAAAGCAAATTTGTAAAGTCTCATGAATTGCCAAGCCAATTATCAGTCGCCCCATGTGACTGCTAGCAACTTTTTTTCTTCAACAGCCTTACTTGGACCTTTTGAGATAAAATACCCCATGAGCGTCACTGTTTACCAAGTGTGTTACAGTCCCTGAAACCAGAATGAGACAGGTCTGCCACAATGACATCTCCATCGGTACAGATACAGTGTCTAAACCCACTGCCAAATCAAGGCGAATTACACACATCATGTATCAATGCAAAGTTATCCCACAAATCAATTGCCTCCTTGCCACTGTTATCTTAAAATCAGAAGCTGTGTATTTTCTGACTTGCGTTTTATCTCATGGGATGATTGCTTCCAGCAATCAGAAAACCT